GCTTTGGCGGTGCCGTTGGGTGCGTCGTTCATGGGCCGATCGGAACCCGGGACGGGATCCGATGTGGCCTGCGCATCGATCTGTGTGTCCTTGAGCTTTTCCCTTACATTCTTTCCTTCGCTATCGCTGCTCTTATCGCTCCGTGCTGGGGACGTGGGCGCAGCTTTGGTGGTGTCGTCGGAGGGGGCAGCAGCTGCAGTTGTCGCCTGCGGTTTCTCTGACGCGTCTGTCATGGTGCAGGACGGGTTGTATTCCAGGCGTGGGGTATGTTGGGAGTGCGCTTGGCAGATGATGTAGCAGAGTAGTAGTAGGAGGAGTCGCAGACGTTGGTGCGTGAGAAGGCGGTTCTCGGGCGGTCGCAGAAATGCCTGTGTGTTTTGAGGTTGTGAATTGAGACAGTGCAAGCTTGAATAAGGACAATAGTAACTATGCTCCGCGGTGAAGACCAAGTTGCGGTCGACGGCAGGGACAATCGCAGAGGTGGTGCTCCGCGAGGCTAGTGGCGACCTTGTGGGTGGACAATGCAGCGTGATGGCTCGTTGGGTGTGCGGTGGGCAGACGATGTCGGAAAACAGGTGCAGATATGAGCTGCAGGCTTGGATTGTCGAGCGGACGGAAGCAGAGCAGATGGGGCCTTGTGGTTAGTGGAGTCGGTCAATGCGCTCTAGTACCAAATTTCCACTACAATGCGCCGAATGCAACAGTGTCTAATTACACCGTCGAGTCCAGAACGCGACTGTAACGAGAGGAATGCAGACAAGGCGCGCCGTGTGTGTTGAGCGGTTAGGGGGCCGAGTGTTGGCGCTTCAGTCGGCGGTCGTGGTCGAGTGTGTTGTCGCTGCAAAGACCAATGACGAAGTGGGGAAGACAGACGGCTAATCATGAACACGGGTAGCAGCAACAACAGCGTCTACCGCTACTTGGGACATGTACATCAAGTTTACTGTAGACGTCTAATAAATACTACTGATTGTATTGGAATGGATTTGTGAGGCCCATGAATAGCTATTTCCACAGCTTGTCCGTAACGCCAGATACCCAGCCAAACACTTTTGCATGCACAACAATGCTGCACTAGCTGATGAAGCACAGGCAGCCCAGAGCAACGTAAAATACAAACAAAGGGTATACTGCGATGCCGACGCGGTTCCTTACGACTCCAGAGCCGCCCATGATGCTCACTCCCGCTGCTAGCGACCAGGCGATGAGAACGATGTAGACGGGGATGCGCACTATCATGGGTATGCCAACGGCGCTGAGAATGGAGGCAATGACGAGCGGGAAGAGCGTGTAGCCGATGATGGAGATGGACTGGAAGAAGGCACTGTACACGATTAGCATGTAAAAGGTGTAGGTGTGCAGAGTGGACGTACATGTTGCCTCCCAGCAGCTTGATCTGCAGCGTCACAACTGCCTCGCCTATCCAGACCATGGCAAAGACGCCGGAGAAGACCAGGTCCTTCTGGTCGCCCTTTGCTCCCCACGAGAGGAACAGGCTCAGCAGCAGGCAGAAGATGAGCGGGCCCCATAGGTCCCAGTCGCGCAGGCCCTCGCTCATGCCGCCCTGCAGAATAACATCTGCGTCCGGCCATCGCCCTGCAATGTTCCTGAGCCCACCGCCAAAGCCGTCGGCCTCGCCGCGCTCTGCGGCGCCAATGCCTCCCCCGCGCTGCATGATGCCGCCCAGCAGGTACTTGGGGTACAGCACCTGCTTCATCTTCTCCCAGATGGCGAAGATGTCGCGGGACAGCGTGTCCCATACCGTCTCGTCGATGGTGTTGGTGGGCGCACGGCGGTCTTCGCCGGGGATGCTCGACGTCAGGTACGACTGCGTCTGCGCAGGGTCGCGCTGGATGTTGCCCGTCAGCGGCGCGCGGTCCGACGTGCCCTGGAGAGGATCGTCGAGGTCATCGAGGGTAGCTGGTGATGGTTAGCCTCGTCCCCCGTCTCGTCGCGCAGGCAGGTGTGGATGCATTGCGACGCACCATCGTCCGGGTCTATCAGGTCACGCTCCACGGCGTCGCTGTCATAGGGGTTGCTAGTTGCGGCACTTGGCATCATTGCCGCCATGGTGGAAAACTGAAAACCCTGCGTTCACGGGTCGCGGGCTAATGCTCCAATCGGCAGCTATCGTGGGTTGTTGGAGAGGCTCTGCTGTCCTCAAGCCTACGCGCAAGCTCTCGGGGCCTCACGCCTGAGGGTGCGCTACTCGACTCGGCTAGCATCCCGCCAACGGGGAAAGCTTGACCGGCTTAGCGTGCAGCCCTTCACTGGCCGGGCGTCACTCCCACCGTCTAGCTCGCGGCCATGCATACTGCCCCTGCGGCCGTTTCGCCGTATTTCGCACGCGGTATATATACACCTAACCACCATCGTCCGCCCTAAGCACACTCCACACACATTTCTGCCATCATGACGGACCCCGTTTTGAACGACATCTCCCACAGGCGCTTCAATCTCCTGCGAGGAAGCTGGATACTAGTCTCTCCCCACCGCACCAAGCGACCATGGCAGTAAGCACATCAGTGATACTGTTCACGGGACGACATACTGAAAACCCACAGAGGCATGCAAGAATCGCCGTCCAAGACAACCCTCCCAGACTATGACCCAAAGGTATCCCTTCGCCCGGACCATGTCTAATATCATCCCGAAATTAATCAACCCCAGTGTTATCTATGCCCTTCAAACACGCGGGCGAATGGCGAACACAACCCCAAGTTCGACAACACTTTCGTCTTCGTCAACGACTATAGTGCCGTCATGGAAGAGCAACAAGAGTACAACCCTGACAACAAAGATGGATCTCTCGCTTCTAGATTACTCCGTGCCGAGGCCGTCACTGGAAAGTGCTATGTCATTTGCTTCTCCCCGTCCCACAACCTCACTCTTGCCGACATGTCGCCGGCGGAGATCGTTCCCATAATAGAGACCTGGACGAACATTTATGTTGCACATCTGGACCCAAAGTCGCCCCTGGCCAAGCTAGCTTCTGCCACTACTATACCGCCACTATCACAGGGCGCTCTCGCAGTTCCAAATGCTCAGTATCGGTATATGCAGATCTTTGAGAACAAAGGCTCGGCCATGGGCTGCTCTAATCCCCACCCACACGGCCAGGTCTGGACGACCACATCCCTCCCGGAAGAGCCCGCCTTGGAGCTGGTGCAGTTGAGCAAATATCGCAAAGAGAATGGAGGCGCTCATATGCTCGTCGATTATGCAGAGCTTGAGTCGAAACAGAAGACCCGCACTGTGTATGAGAACGCGAGTTTCTGGGCCGGCGTACCTTACTGGGCAGTATGGCCGTTCGAGATTATGATTGTTCCCAAGCAACACAAGCGCTCGCTGGTGGACTTCTCCAAGGAGGAGCGAGCGGGGTTGGCTGAGTGCATAGCGGAAATCACGAGGCGCTACGACAACCTGTTCGAAACCCAGTTCCCTTACAGTAAGTCTAGAACAGCCATAATAGAGAGACAAGGCTAACGAGGTTGAAGGCATGGGTCTTCATCAGGCTCCTCTTACTGGTACAGCCGACGAGATTGAGTCCAGTCATTTCCACATTCACTTCTATCCCCCACTACTGCGAAGCGCCACCGTTCGCAAGTTCCAGGTTGGCTACGAGATGATGGCCGAGCCTCAGCGCGACATCACCCCAGAGCAGGCTGCAGAGCGTCTTAGGGCGTGCGACGGTGAGCTTTACCGCAAGAACCTCGCATCTTCGCCAGACACCAACGGCGTCAACGGGGACCACTAAAGCCCCGGCGCGTATTTATTTTTCAATTTGGCTTTCACATGCACATAGGCCATACGACACACTGTGAGCCTGGTTGGTCACATGCCAGGTGCACGAGCTCTTTGAGATGGGAGAGTAGATACCCAAGAAGACGATACACGATACACGATAAACGTAGAAAGTTGCATAAAACGGAGTGCTGCAACGGCGTTGGCAGGCATAACAGTGCATTACATTATCTTTTCTCGAATGCACGTTCAATCTCAACTATATCACATACTGTGCGCATGGCCTCGTGAGCAACCGTACCATGTGCTGTGTCCCGCTAAAAACGTCATGCCGCGGATGCTGCCCTGCCCCACCATCATCGTGCGAACCTGATCTCGACCCCGCGCTACTACCACTCGGCAGCAAGCCCCCAAGCTCTCCTTCAACTAGTTCACCAACAAACAATCACCACCAACATCTACCTCACAAACACATTTACCACCGTAAGAACCGCCCACTGCCGCTACAGACAAGAAGTAGACAGGAAGCTAACAGCAGGACTCTAGACCAATATGCCAGGAGCCAAGTACACCGAGACCTACAAGAAGGTCAGCGCCATGGGCGAGAAGCTCAAGGCGGCTGGAAAGCAGGGTCCCAGCAACGACGAGCAGCTACACGTATGAGTTTCCTTCTTTTCCAACACGCCCTTTCTGATATACATCACCGGACATGATGTTTGAAGAAGTCCAGATGCTGACAGTTGGTTGTGAATTCTAGTTGTACGCGTACGCCAAGGTAGCAGAGGGCAAGGACTTCAGCGAGGCCAAGAAGCCTGGCATGTTCGATCTTGCTGTACGTTTCCGCATACCTTTTCTATCCCTTCGCACCCTTCGCACCCTTCGTCACGACGTACCGCCTGCCAGCCATACATACCGGTCAAATCCTAACAAACGTACGAGGACAAAAACTGATATTATGATTAGGGCAAGGCCAAGTACAACAAGTGGAAGGAGGTCGTTGACGCCGGAACCACCCAGAAGGAGGCCGAGGACAAGTACGTCGAGTTGGGCGAGCAGCTATTGGCCAAGCACGACAACTAAGTGTGGGTGGATCATCAAGGCAAGACTCATGTGCAATTTAAGTATTGCTACGGTATCGCCTATATATTGTTATAAGGATCAACGATAAAAAGTGCCTCATCGACATATGTGTAGTACATGTGCTTCGGAGATATGAGGACCTGCAAGCGCTCGGTATGGAATCTGGGTATCGGTATTCAACGTCCATAGCCGGCCCAGACGTGCCCGTTTCTGTCTGGTTCCATGTATTGCATAGTAGCACACCAAGGCCTCTCATCAGCCGTGTAGGGACGAAGTGGTAAGTCGTAAGCCATGCGGAAACCCACGACTGTCCTCGGCTTAACCATGTTCTTCTCTTCAGCTGCCGTTCCTCCGCTGCCATCATCGTGAGCATTGAGACTCTCGGGACCAGGCATATCGTTCCCAAAGACAGGGACCATGGCGACTTCGTCCTGTGCCTGGGCATATAAAGCAGGCCAGACGACAACCCCCGCCTCCCACGACTGTATCCAGATCTCATCTTTCTTGTTCACAACATCGCCCCATGCTTGCTTGCTCAAGTTTGCGCTCGTCACCATTGCCCAGTCGATGGTTTTGTGCTCTTCGTCACTGAAACGTACGTAGGTTTTGATATGTGGTGCTGCCAAGCCACGATGCGCTTCTTGCCTTGCTGAGTCTTTTGTCGACGAAGAAGACGCGTGACTCCAGTGGCACAGCATCGGATGCATGTACTCCAACTGTTTCTGCTGCTGCGCTGATTGGAGTTTCCAATGAATTGACCCACCAGATGCGTAGCCGTCAAGGGAAGCACGGATTTCCTCTGGGGTTGGAAAGATGACACTGTACTTGGGAGATAGCGACTTTCCCACGTTGGACTCACGTTTGGCGAAGAAAGACGAGGCTTGCGTCGAAGAAGATGATTGTGCCCCGGAGTTGGCTACCATTGTTGCCGAAGGAGATGCAAGCACTGACTGGAAGTTCGAGAGCCATGTGGACGCCGCACCCAGTGTCGCTATAGATGAGATTTGCGTCACGATATGAGGGCGTGTAGAGTCCCGGGAGCCCATGATAGGGACACTAGAAAGCACCTCCTTCAAGCCTAGCCACCCGAATGAGGTTACCGAAGGGTTAGCTGCAGCGGGCTTCTGTCGCGATGGCGTACTTCCAATGAACGCAGCTCTGATACTTGAGAAATCATAGTCTTGAAGTTGCGTGGTCAGTCCTCTCAATCGTTTCTCGTATGCACTCAAATATCGGAGGATATCAACTTTGAAGCGCTCGCCGCTCCCAATCGGGTGGACTTGAGGAGAGTCTGGCTGGGATGGCGTTGCTTGACCCAAAACAGGTAACAAAGGCGACTTCCATACTGCTTGAGTCATGTTGGCCCAGTCGCGATGGATCATGTTAGCTGTGTGAATGATGATTTGCGCAGTGTCATCATGGCGAAAGAGGATAAGCATCTTCGAGTGGTGGGTCCCGAACGGATCCGGAATATACGCGCTCAACAGCTCGATATTCGGATACCGCTCCGCTGTTTCCTGGATCATTGTCAACTCCTGTCAATACTGAGTGGGCAAGAGTATTCACGAGTAGGGCGATCCTGTTACCATCATCCCGCTTCCAGAAACCATGCACGATCTTGACCTTGATCATGTCTCTCACATCGCTGTCGAAGTGCTGCCTGGATATGGTTAGCATCAGGACTCGAGCCGGGAGCTGCGTTTAGTCTCGGTGATAGATACGGGACTTACATGACAAAGTCTAAATCGAACAGAAAGTTAAAGTTCCAGCATTCCTTAATCAACGGATCACCGAGCAAGTCCGACAAGCACACAGCATCGACATTCTGATGTGCCGGCAGCTTCTCGATTTTCGTCAGCTGCACTGGCGAAGGAAAATATCGTGGTTCCCCGGTCCTGTCGCTTTCATGATCCGGTGTAGCTGGTTTGGCTGGTCCCGACGCCAATGCTGGATTCGGTACTCCATCAAAACTCCAAGTCGGCGTAAATGACGGTGGCTCGGGGCTTTTGCACCGCGGTAATGGTGGGCTGATTGGCTTGTTGAGTCCTGCATGATGGTCGGACTTCGTGACTTCTTTGCTCGAGGTGTCGTCATCAAGCTTGCGGCGTTTTGATGGCGGGGCGTTGCTAGGTTGTTGGGACGCCATGACGGTCACGGCGCGATGACGGCAATGCAGTCGCGATCGATTGTGGCTCGGCGCCGTGTCAACTGGTAGAGTTGGGTGTCAGGAATCGCGTTGCATCTTGTTTACACGGCGGAGGCACGGTCCACTTGACCATAGCAGGCAGTCACTGGTATCAAATGGCTAAGGGAAGGAACACATGGATGCAGCCTAGGAAAAACATCGATAATGATAAAACATCACAACAGGGCAGTCGCAGTGTCAAAATATAAAGTATGAAGTGTGAATGGATATCATTCTTCGTTTAGACTGTAAAGCTCACTTTTCAAAGCATGTGCTCATCAAAGGCTACAAACATACGCCGTCTAATAGTGCTTGAGCATCGTCTCCATGATGCTTGCTAGCGAACGCTGTGAAATGAAAACATAATTATGCCTACACAAAACGAAAAGGCATCCCAAACGCCGGGCATCGCTAAATCGAAATGAACAATACTCTAGGCCGCGCTGGCGCTGAGCATAGGTTGTGCGACCTTGGTAACCTGGTTACCAGCCCGGATGATTGGGTTGCCTTGTTCGTCCTTGACGATGTTGACCTCCTTGTTCTCCTTCTGGGCACGCTTCCAGATCTCGACCTCGCATCCACCACGGATGACGCCCACCCTCATGGTGGAGAGCAGGTTGTGGGCGGCGTTGGAGTGGAAGTAGACACCACCGTTGAACATAGCAGTAGCGTCCTTGCCGATACCGCTCTTGATGAGGGTCTTGCCACCGGGGTGCTCGTTGATGAAGTCGGTGACGTCGTGAACAACACCGGCGACAGCGATCAGACCGCGGCCGTTCTTAGCCTGCTCAACGTAGTCGTCCCACTCAATGACGGGAAGCTGCTCAAGAGGAACACCCCAGTCGAGCTTGGCGCGCTTCTGGTCGATCTTCTTTTGTAGCTGCTGGACGCGACCCTTTTCGATCTCGTTGGCGCGGAACTGCTTGAGGTTGGAGGCGAGGCCGAGCTTGCTCCACAGCCAGATGGACCACTTGGTGGGGTCGTACTGGTGCCACTCGATAGCGTTACGGTAGTCGGAGGGGAACTCGTGGTGGAAGTTGTGGTAGCCCTCACCGAGAGTGACAAGAGCGGTGATGACGTGGTCCCTGGGGCTGTTGCGGTCGTCGAAGGGCTGGTCGCCGAGCCAGTGGGCAAGGGAGTTGACGCAGAAGGTGGCCTGCTGGACGAAGAAGATACGGAGGATACCGGCGTAGATGAATCCACCCTTCCAGTCGTTCCAAAGAAGACCAGCGACGGCCGAGGGGAAGATCAGACCCATGAAGATGACAACCTTGATGTAGTGCTTGTGCTGCCAGACGACGACAGGGTCCTCGTTCAAGTCGGTGATGTCGGTGCGGCCGATGCGCTTGGGGTTCTGCTTCATTACCATCCAGCCGAGATGGCTGTAGAGAAGACCCTTGCGGACGCTGTAGGGGTCCTTGTTGGTGTCGGTGTAGCGGTGGTGGGCACGGTGGTCGCGGCTCCACCAGCGGATGGAACCCTCAACAGCACCGCCGCCAACGAGGGCGAGGAAGACGCTCAGTGGGAGGGAGGCGTTGTAGGACTTGTGTGCCCAGAGACGATGGTAGCCAGCGGTGATGCCGAGACCAGTCCAGAAGTAGTATACGACGGCCCAGAGAGCAGTCTGCCATTTGAGAGGGGTCCAGAAAGCCGCAACGCAGCCGGCGAGGGGGATGCCGATGATGAAGGTGACCTGATCCAGTGTTAGCCAATGGCTCTGATTCAGAGGACAGGAGCAAACCTACGTTGAGCCAGTTGACGTGCTTGTACCAGTTGGCCTTGGTGATGGGTGTTTCGGTGATGTGTGGCTTCTTAGGGTCGTACTTGGGGTTGCGGTTCGGCTCCGAGGTGCTCGCCATGGGAGACGGCTGCTTGACGTATTCGGGGTCGACGGCCATCATGCCGGCGGTGGGCTGGTGGGAAGGCATGGTGAGGAGGTGGGTAGGGTGGTTGTAGGTAAAGCGAGGGCGGTCGAAGAAATTCGACGGGAAGCAACTAGCGGCTCAAAAAAGTTGAGCTCCGGTCAGCCTCCGGTGTCTGGGTACAAAGCTCCAGCAACGATGGAAAGCTTCACCACGATCAAGTGAATGACGGGGTAGAAGATGTGAGGGAAGGAGCAGTGGAGGGAAGATGAGGGGAGGCAGAGACAGCGGGCGGCCGAGCGTGTTAATAAGGCGGCGGGACAGTCTTGAATCCCAACACTCTGCGGGCGTGTAAGCGAAAGACTGGGACCTTGCATTGTCGCTCGAGATCCAGCAATCGCCGCAACTTTGGTCATAGCCAGCCTAGCGCCGCGCACTAACCGCCGTCTCAGGGTCCCGCACAGGACGAGGGACGGCGCTGGCTGCAACAGCGCGAGAAAATTTCGGGCCTAACTGGCACGTCGTGCTGATCTCGGCATCGAGACAGTCGCTGGGTGGCGGTGCGCGCGCAGACGTGCAGAATATCCAGCAATCCCAGGCCGCCACCTTCCCCAGATTCTGATTAATCCCACACGCGGCGGCCCTATTGCCTACACATGGCCCGGCTGCTGCTTCTAGCCGCGACATCGCGAAGACGATCGCAAAGAGCGGTCTGGTGCAGACGACCGGCAGCGCGAGCCGGCGAGAAGGATGCCTCACTGGGCATAGAACCTCACGCCGTGGTGAGGCCACACGTCTCGTCATCGCTAGCTCGCTAGCTGTCCTCTCCGCTTGATGCCCCGCTGGGCCACGCCTGCAGTCGACGAAGGGTGAGCCGGATGCAGACGCGACACCACGTTCGTTGGGAAACTGTTGATATCGCTCTGCATCCGCCCTACCCAAGTCTTCTGCAGCCTTACGTAGGCGGCCGCTCGCCAGCCCCAAGTGTCTGGAAAGCATGGCCGCGACGACATGTTTCATGCAGTGGCAAAGTGCTCGGCTTGGATACCCAGTGGGTCTCAGACGTCCATGACTTTTTCGATGGCGCTTGTGCTTGGAGAAAATCGTCAGTGCTTCACAACGTTGTGGAAACCGTGAAGGGTCTTCTTCCGCTGGCGCAAATTCCCCGGCACGCTCCAAGCTCGGGTGCTGGGTGCTGGTGCGCCATCGCAAGCCCTGCTCGATTGGGAAACGGCCCTCCTCAACACCTGCTCTGCCTGTCTCCAGCCCATACAGACACATGTCCATATCAGTCTTGACGCGCACCCACCATCGCGACGTCGATAGCATGCAACAGTCTACGAATCAGCGTGCGTTCGTTCACCTCGGCTCCAGGAAGCTGTTGCGTCACACCCGCTGCACTCCCCATGTGGTCTCATTCTCATGCCACAAGGTCAACGGTCGTCCCAACGTCCCAACGGGTAGGGCTGAAGGCAAACTGCTGGCGTGCGCTTAAGCTATGGCGAGCCACTCTTGCGAAAGCTGGTTGCGGCACCCTGACTGCGTAGCCCTCGTTGACCCTTGCCAAGGCGCAGTATGTAGCAGAACTTGCTCTGCGTTTCGTTGATGAAGTGACTGCTTCTTCATTAACTTCTACATCCTACCACGCCACACCGTAAATGTTCCGCGATGTAGCCGTGTGTGTCCATGTTCTATCATCAGCAACGGAAACACCATTAGCCAGAGACCATCTATTGAAACCTACAACGGCCAGAGGGTCTACCGAGAACGTACTCACCTGCTCTACATAGGCAGGGACATATACCTCCACGCGATATCGAGTAGTTGCTGGAGATGTGAAAAGGCTGTGAAGGAATCGATGTAGTCCTGCGCAGTC